ATCAACTGCAAACTGGTCTGGGGAGTGGGATCTTGGAGACCTGACTGAAACACTACCCATAGGGAATGTCAGGATCAAACACGGGGAGAAGAGAGCAGCCATGGCAGTGCTGCTGGAGAGTGTTAAGGCATGCTGCTGCAGAGCACAGTCTGTAAGAATACCTGATCTGAATTGTTTGATTCTGGAGGGTTTCGCACCAGCAACTGTACTTTGGTGAGCCCAAGGAACGAGCTGGCGTAGCGTTGGGTTGTTGGCAGGTAGGCAGGAATAATCCTCCTTCTGTATGTCTTTCCAGTAATGAGCTGGTGATTGCATCAGGGTTGTTAAGTCCTTTGATGGATGTATAAAAGCTGTATGTCTAATTGCTCTGTGAATCCATTTCCGCTTTGGATCTCCCAGTATCTCTGGCACTGAGCTCTGCAGCTTAATGTGGTTATTGTTTCTTTTCAAAGTCCACTGCTCAGTAATTTCATCAAACACTCTCGTGTGCAGTGAGAGGTAACAATTGTCTGCTGTTTCTCCACATCATTCATGACTTTATAGAAACTGTTGTGTCCTCTGTTTTCCTTTTTCAGCTGCAAATCTGAGTTATTTGGTGTTTTCTGAGTGGCTGCTGCTGCATATTTATCTTTGTCCCCTCTCAATTTGCCTTTGCTGTGTGTACTCTCCCTTTTTTAGCAGTGACACCAGAATTGCATAATAAATTTTTGTAGTGCTGTAACTTCTGTTTTGCACTTTAAAATATTCTTCTTGCCTTTTTGAGTGCTGCAGAGCATTGGATGCTGCTCTGAAGGTATTGGCTCGCACTGAGTCTGAGGGTTTTTGTTTGATAACAGCTGAACTAAATCCTGTCATGTTGTGTGTATAATTAGGGTTGTTTTTTCCGTATGCATTGCTTTGCATGGGGTGACTTTGTGCTGCAGACTTAAAACTCATCTTCAGGGACTTCCTGTCTGTGGGGTGAGTTTCACTGAAGAAACATTGAGTTCCTGGTTTGTTTGGGTTTTTTATTATTAGTTGGAGAAAAGGAAAAAAACTTCCTCTCTCCAGTGCAGCTGGGAGTCTGAATGCTCTGGGACCTTCTCTTCTCCCACTGGACAAATTCTTTAAGGAGAAAAACCTGGAGAAACCTTTTCTCTACAGAATGACAGAGAATCTTCCCATTTCTCCAGTTGTTCGGGGTGTTTCCTACAGCCAGGCAGAGCTGGAGAGGCAGGTGTGCAAAATCAACCCACGGGGGAAGAGGTGCAT